GTAACTTTTAGTCTACTGCTATAAGATATTCCGTAGCGGTGACCGGAATTGGCCTAGAAAAGTCTGCCCTAGACTAGACAATAACTTTATAACAGTGACCGCTGCGCTCCAGCTGGCGTGCGGATCGGCTCCGACTAGGGCAAGTATACCTTCGATTGCAGCACCTACTTGAGCTGTACGAAAAACTTGGGGGGGCTTTGTGGCCTGATCGAGGGACTCTCTATCGAGAGGGCCTGCACTCCCAAAATAGCTGCAGTACATGTACAACGAATGGGGAAGTGGACAAGATGAAGCGAGATAGGTGCGAGTATAACGAAAGTTTAGCCCGATATATATATATATATATAAACATGTTCTCGATCTAGATAAAAGGGCAAATAATGGGCTTTTCAAAAAAGTTTCGATGTAACATGTAAGGAAGTGGCGACGTCTCGTAACTAAGCGCGTTACATTTAATGCAGTGTCGTTTACAACCCTGCACCCACTAACGAAGCAGCTACCGTATACGGTATTTCAGAGATGGACGTAAAGAAGGAAAATGGAAGAATAAAAGGCGCACTGCTCATGCGCAGATGCAGAGTGGGGGGAGCCGGGGATGGAGTGGGGGGCATGTGCGTGTTTACAGTGCCCTTTTTGTTCTCCCATTTTACTTCTTCAGATCCAGCTCTGAAATAGCGTGTCAGTCGTCACCCTGTCTGACGCTGAGGACACCCTCAGGAAATGTATCTGAACTTAAAACACTAAAAATATCGTCCACTAGGTGACTATATTCCACTTCGACTATCCTCAAGCTCTGGAGGTCAAGTTTGGTGGCTGGGCGGGCGAAGAAATGATCGACGTGTTCGTCGAATACGCGGACTTCCTCTTCAAAGAGTACGGTAGCAAGGTAAGCTACGTGATCTCCGGGGGTGTTAGCTCGTATATGTGTCCGTGTCCAGTATCATCCACAGATGTCCCTCAATTTTTTGAAGTACTAAGACGGGATTTCGATCGTTTTGTAATTCCTCTGATACATAAAGTCGAATGTAGAAGGTCCGAGTTCTTTGCAATGCGGGCCTACGTGGGTATTAATATTAAACATTGACATGAAAATCTGCCATGTATTTTTCTACAGATTAAGTACTGGCTGACCATTAACGAGCCAGAGTTGTACTGCGACACCCTTGCCGGAGGCATGCTAGCACCATCTACGATGACGACGCCAGAAAAGCAGAACGCATGCCTAAAAAACACCATTCTGGCCCACGCGAAAGCCCACAAGATCTACGAGGAAAAATATAAGGCCAAGTACAAAGGTAACATATACATATAAGTCATTGTTGTTTAAGCTATTTCGAAAAAAACTACTACAAGGTGGGTAGATGAGAAAAAGGGGATGGCTGGTGCGTGCTCGGGCGCACGCATCAACCGACGTGACCAAACTCGCCTTTTCACTTGAACCTTTTCACGTCACAGATTGATACACATCCTAAAACTCGGCCTGGCGCCGTCTACTTGTTGCCACATCGCGTTTGCAGCATGAATACGTTTAAAGAGGTCCAGACGACTCTATCCCCATACCACTCACGACCACATGAGTGCTTTGCAGGGCTCCGTAACTTCTAATAACACGAACGAACGTTAGTTACTCAACGCAACAACACATGTCAAACTAAAAGTTAAAGTTATCAATTTTGACATAAGGCCGATATTAATCGTTCTTACTATAGAACAAGCTGGGCCCGCTCTTCCGCCAAACCAAGTTGCCAGCTCCGCTTCGCTCCACCGGGAGCGGGCCCAGCTTGGCCTGCCGGCGGCGTTCCCTTCTGAATTTGCATGGTGTAAGACATCTTCTATCCGAAAACGGGCCTTCGGCCCGTTGGAGTGACGGCTCGCTTTGGACCATCTTTTTGCCAGGTACCTTTTCTGTCTACTTCGTAATCAAAACTGAACAAATAAAGTATTCTTTTCATACGCTGGACATCTTTGGCTGTGTGTGCCGCAGTTTGTAGAATACATGCAAGTTATGCCAAATCCCTTCTAAGTTATTGATGTTAGCTTATGAATCAAATAACACACCTATGAAAAGATACATAAGACTAGCCCTAGAAGAAGTTAAATATACTTCCAGGCATACTCTGAATGACTCCGAACGTGTTCGAACAACAAATGATTGTTTTTTTTTGTGTTTGTTTTTTTGCTTTTTTGCATGGAAGTGTACACGTTTTATTAATGATGTCCCACCATAAAATAAGCCCACTCTTCTGCTTAGAAGAAAATTTTGAACCGACGGCATACTTCTTAGACAGAAGTGTACTTCTGGAAAAGTAAAAATATTTCTGTTTTGGCCAGTTT